GGCGGGTCGACAGGGGCCTGAGCAGTCGAAGAAGAAGGCAAGGCACTCGACAGGGGCTCCGCGAAGGTAACAGAACCCCGATTGACGTCACCAGTGTCCTGAACGACTGGTTTCGCCCTCGGCGTCGACTGTAGTGCCTCACTTACAGGAGCTCACCTACTCTTCCTCGTCAAAGACCTCTCGGGCTCTTCATCATCATCAGGGAGGTCAATAATGTTGGGAGTTGTACAAAGTTCAAATTGCCAAAATCACGTCACCCAATGATGCACGATGCAGTTGAATCGACCAAAGAAAGATAGTATGGCAGAAATCATACCCGGATTAGAAGTGACCGCATCCTCCATCACCTCATCATCATCCCTGTAAGCTGAGATCCCGGAAGTGGCAACGGTAACAATTCCAAAGTTCGTCCAGTTAAAACAAGAAAAACAAACAGCGCGGAGCGTCGAGTGAATACAAGGAGAGACACTCACGCGGAGGCGACATGGATATCGATCTTGATCTTTGGCAGCGCCTTCCGAGTCTTCGGCTCTGCAACTTTGGGGTGCTTTAGCGCCTTCTCAGTCGGGGTTGGTGAAGAGACCCGAGGACGCTTCGAAGACTGACCAGCCTGAGCAGTTGCCTTGTCGCGGGCACTCGGCCGTTCTTGGTCAAGCTTGGATCGTCTCTCTATGCGAGGAGGCGACTCGACTTCTTCCCCATCACTTGAGTCGTCACTTCCACCATCCCCTTCACCATCGGAAGTCCACTCGCCACTTTCGCCACCACTCGCCTCGCCTTCCAGAGCTTGCTCTTGCTCCCCGTTGGGCATCGAATACATTTTAATAATGGCCTGAAAAAAAGCAGGGAGAACAAAGTCAGTCGACGCAATACAGACAGATGCGCGAGTGAATTCAGATTACAAGCAAAAACTCAGAATCAGACCTGCTCTGGTGCACGCGACTGGTCGAATGGGGGAACTCTCCTGGCTCCTCTGGGATTGTCCTTGTTCCCGGTAATGCTCGACAGCCACTTCTTCAGCGTATCGTCATGGACCTCCTCCGGGTGGATCCGAGTGGAGTCTTCTAGACCCGAATACATCCACATCGGGTGGTCTCGGGCTTGGAGAGGCTGGATGCGCCGCTGAAGGAAGACCTCCAAGAGATCCATATCAGTGACCCCGTCACGAATGAGCTGGACCACTCGGTTGACCAGCACCTTCACGTGCGCCTTCTCCTCCGGGAGCACCTTCAAAGGGGAGGGTTTTTTCATTCGGTCCATGGTAAAGGGAGGGACGCCAGTCGATTGCCCTGGCGTCGACTGGTCTTTGAAGTAGAACCAGGTCGACTGCCATCCACGAACTGAATCGGGAAGAATCATGGTCGGAAAGGAGCTTTTTCCCCTTGTCTGGATGCCAAGACCCCCACACATCTGGATCACTTGGGTCCTCTCGTCACTCGGATTAGCCTTTTTCACTGTCTGGGAGTGACAAGTGAAAATATGCTTGAAAAGACCCCAGTGAGGTCGACAACCCAAGAAGTTCTCACACAAGGAAATGAACGCGGCAAGATAAACGATTGAGTTGGGGGTAAAATGGTGGAGTTGAGCCCCAAAGAAGTTCAGAAACCCTCGGAAGAAAGGATGAGGAGGCAAGGAAAACCCACGGTCGACGTGGGTGGCAAGAAGAACGCGCTCACCCTCCCGGGGTTGCGGCTCAGATTCCTTCCCCGGAAGCCGCACCGAGTCGTAGGGGATCAACCCTCCCTCGGCCAGGTCGTCGAGGTCTTCTTGGGAGATCCTCGAGTGGATCCAGTCGCCCTGGATCCAACCCCTCGGCAGGCCAGTCCACGAGGAAGATCCGCCCCGGCTCGTCGCCTTCCCCTTTGACCTCGCTGTCGCCTTCTTTGCCCGCTTCAGAGCCGTTGTCTTCTCCTTCACCATTGTCGCCGACGAGACGCGTGTGGCGCGGTGGCGCTGGAGCGAGAGCGAGCGCAGAGGAGAGGCGTGAGGAGGAGAAGAGATAATGGGGCGCACTGTTCGGGAGACTCCGGTCCAACGCCTTATATGAGGTCGTTTCCGAGTGGCTGACAGGTAGGCCCAGATGGCTCTGCCAAATCCCGTAACGACCGCATGAGCGATACGTGGCGAAAAAGGTGGCACGGGGATCGAGGCGGCTCCGCTCTATCTCGTCCGATTACTGCGGCCTCCCCCGTCCCGCGCGCTTCCCAAAATTCGGATCCCACTAAATCCGTGGGCAGCAAATAACTTGTCAGACCAAAGATCTCCTCCGCACCGTCACTCGGAGCCTTACAAGTAAAGAAACTCACTCGACGAAGAATTAAGAATGGATCAAGGCAACTGAAAAGGAAGTTGCTGCCATCACTCGGGTCCATTGATCCAGAGCAAGATATGCTCATGGCATGAAAAACAAGTCGAAGAGGTCCTCAACTCCTTCCCCACTCAAACCTCGATCCATTCGGGGGCTAATGATGAAGTTATGTACCTAGGGTAGGGTCATGGACCTATCCTAACTGCCCTACCCAAGGACATCTCTAGAAGAAATCACCTTTCAATCGACTTGAAGGTGTTCCACTCGACAGATTCGAAGTCACTCGACCAAGAAGCGATCATTCGACCAAGATCCAACCACTCGACGGCCAAGAGACCTAAAGTCACCCTGCACGCTAACGGTCGGTCATTAAATAGCTTTTATGGTCATTATAGCACTTTATTACTAGCGTTACCAGTAACGCCCTGCCTTAATGTACATTGAACCCTTCGTAACGTGGGCTGGCCAGGGTCCTGGCGCACTCTATATAAGCCACCCTCTCCTCCGGGACAAGGGTTCGCACCTCTGTAACTCATACTCACATAATCCAGTCGACCGCCTCCGGGCTCCGAGACGTAGGGTTTTTACTTCTTCCGAGAAGGACCTAAACTTGGAAAACCTTGCGTCCTTACGACACATGCCCCTCTTCCATAGCTAAGATCTCGCCTCTCTATACTTACCCCCCTACATTACTGTCAGACTTAGAATCACGACACATGCCCCAGCACGGGAGCAGCTTCGGCCGCACGCGAGCGCCCTATCGCCCAGCCAAGCGCCGCCGGCCACGTAGAGCGGTGGAGCGATCGGACCGGCCGGGCGTGCCAGCGATTTTTGAACCCGCCGGCCGGCACTTGTCCCGGTGGACGCGACGAGCCCTAAAACTATTCGGCCGTCACATGAAGCCAGCTCTGCCCGGCGCGGAGCTCCACTCAGCGCGCTCTGCGCTTTGCGTGCGAAGCGAGACGCGAGCTTTGCCACGGCGAGTTCAGATTTGAGTTCGAATGTTGGAGGCTCCCATCTTCCATGGACAGAGGGAGGTGGTCCTGTCTCAAGTAAAAGATCTGACTCGGGCTGTGGAAGTCTTTTGCTCCATTTTTGTTGCTTCGATGCATGTTCGCCCTAGAAAAGTGTCTCTCAGCGGCCGGGGAGTGCATGACAGCATGGATGTGATTTCCCTCACAAGGAAATTTTCTATAGTTCAGTACTGCCACCAGTAGCTCCTTTTACACATTGAATTATACCAAGATAAATCTGCCTTCTAGATTTGCGCTGATAAGCGTATAGTTTCTGCAGCTCTAGATAATTAGGCAGTATCCACGACGACGGTGACCTACGGACATGCCACATGTTTACTTTTGGACGGTCATTCTAATCCAATGCTCGCATAAGTGAAACACGACAAATAGCGCGTGAAAGCGGCCTAAGCATCCGATGCATCCACTGTTTTGGCTGCAACCGCCCTGAAACCCATGCGGCACGCCTTCTTACGAGCATCTTCAACAGACGCGCTAAACAAGCGCTGCGCCGTAAATAGACTCATTTTAACGCGCGCGCAATCCGACGGATGGCTCCAGCGGGCGCGCAATAACCGCGCGCGCGGTATAAGCAGTTGGGCGCGCGGCAGGAAGCGGTACCCTGCACGGTGTATTTGCGGCGTCTGCTTCCGCGCGTGGCACACTCGCTCGCTCTGTCTTCTCCCGCTTCAAAGCCCCGCGCGCGCCGGCGCCAG